GCACGGCCAGCGTGATTAACCGTGACCTGGTACCCGACCGTGGGAACCCCCTCCTTGCCCGTGTACGAACGGGCTAAGTTGTAGGGGCACTTGCTCCAACCGATATGAGTTACATCCATGGACCCCATCGCGCCCGAAAAGCCAAGCCGGTCGTACTGCTTCATGACGTGGTCCAGCTCGCCGTTCTGTTCCGACGGGAGGTAGATGTGTTCATCGTACATTTCCCGTGCGAAGTGCTTGCAGAACTTGTGGAACATCGCCTGCACGGTCGCAGCGCTCATCCACGACATCTGGTATATGCTTGCAAAGCAGTTGCCCCGGCCGAGTATGGTCAGCCAGGCCAGCACCTGCACCAGCAAGTTCAACAAGGAACGTATACACGGGATACAGCGGTGCTATTAGTGATGATGTGGTGTGGTTGCCTGTAAAGCCGTGCGGAAGCATCTCACGGGCGGGAGACTGAGTATTGTGCCATGCGCTGAACAACTCAACGACTGTGAGTTCAGCCTATTTAGCGATGTTGCGCTGACTGGAGGACTCGTCTCCGGCGATATCCCGGACGCCAGTTCAACCCAAGGTGACGTAACAACGGCACAGCAGTGTATGTAGAAGCAGTGTATATGCTGCTATGCACGACAGCAGAGCGACCGCGGGAACTTTTTGCAAGAGTGGGAGAGCTCGGCCAGCGGTCACCAAGCGCGTCTCGGCCACGGGCGAGGGCATGCAGCTGAACAACAGTCCTAAAACTGCGCATGGTTTTTGCTCCACACTACATCAGCAGAACTCCCCTTCTTGTAGGTTATGGACAGAGCGTCTGTACCGTAACATTCCAGAATGCTTGTGCTCGACTGCTGTATGCGGAAGCACTGGTGCTCGACCACTGCTGTAGCACTGCTGTAGTTAGTTGCAGTACGTTGTAGTTCCTCCGCTTGTATCAACAGCACGACAGCAGTATGTACAGCAGTGTACAGCAGCTTCTTCTTGGTATGGGCAGAGGCTGCACTCGTACGAATCCGACATACATGCCGTCAGCTTACCTTGTGCTCCACTGGGTGGCTGTGCCGACCTGCTCCATCGCAGCCCGCAGTAACGAACCAGTTCTTGCTCTTGACCAACGCCACGAGCCGCAGGAAAAATGAGTAGGGGACGCGGAAGTCAAGACGAAACTGCTTGGAGGTTCTGCTGTTGCTGTCCTCGAGGTCTTTGTCCTCCAACATCTGTGCCCAAGCGCATGTCTTCACGTCTTTCCTCTGTCGCTGCGTTCTTGAGAGTCTAGGACGGGGAAGGTCGGGGGCAGTATCCTCCTCCTCTTGCGACAAGTCGTTGCGTTGGACCTCATCGAGGGCCACCAGGGCCACCGCAAGCGCGGTCGCTGGCAGCAGGGCATCATCACCCACGCCGGTCTCGGCCATCGGAAGAGAGCCCAGACTGCTGTTGTAGGGTGGAGTCAAGGAGGTGTCACTCCTGCTGCCTGCAAGCAGCGCCAGCGATGGCAGCCACCTCCACATTGGTGTGCTTGTGTGTGTGTGTGCCGTCGGCGTTGGCGCGCGATCAGAAAAAAAGACAACATTTTTGGACAGCCTCCAGTTGTCCAAAACTGCCCAAAAAAAAGACAGGATGGGCTGTCCAAAACGGGTTGTCTTTTTTTGTTGTCCTTTTTTCCCTGAAAAAAGACATCGTAAGAAGGTGTTCTTTGGCGAGTTGTCTTTTTTTGAGGGGGAAAAAAGAAAAAGATCTAATAAAAAAGACTTCGTAAGAAATGGCCTAAGGTGTCTTTTTTTTGCCTTCGATCATGAGGGTCTCGCGTTAGACCACATTTCCTACCTCTTGTTTTTTTGCCGATTTGTAGTAGACTAGATATAAATTGTTTTCCGACCTCGTTGAGAATGGGCCTCTAAGCCGCGAGCCGCGGAGTCAATTGAGGTTTCCGGCGGCGGCGCGGTCTATCGCATGCTGGAGGAACAATGGCAACGTCATTCGTGCTTGACTGGCCCAACATGAACACATTTTAATCAATAGTGTTTCGGTGCCGCAGTGGAAACAGAAAAAGTACACGCACGAAGCTTGGCTGCACTCACTTGCGCACGCACACATGTGTGTTTTTATTATTAGCATCGACCGCGCTAACGGCTGACCAATGAAAAGACGTCAGTGCCAGCGGATAATTATCATCGTCCCTCGAAAGGGGCCAAAATTCGAAAAAAAAAAAGCGCAATTTCGTCAGCGGCCGATGAATAAATTACCTCTCTCTGAGTAAAACGGGAGTTGTTCCGCGATGTGGGTCTCTGTAGTGGCAAACATGCGTCTATTGTTGTGTGATCAATAAATAAATGCTTTGGTTGTCGAGAATTTCCGACTCACGGTCGGGTGATGAAATCAAATCAACTGACAATGTGGGGGCAACATTCAAGTCCTACACGTATTTCCGTCGAGAGACACCCCGAAAAGCCCGCAACCGTCAGAAATTGCAAATTGTGATTGTTCCGCGAGTTTTCTGGTGTGCGCGAGTGCCACATATCGGCGTCGTTGCCTGGGAGACCGCACACCCGCGAGGAACAGTTAGTGCAGAGCAGTGCATAGCTGCAAAGTTCTTTGAAGGCAGCACGCCCTCGCACGTACCACATCGCGCAGTAGTTGCACACAACCGCACCTCGCTGCATCGCATCACATCACCCGACCTTGAATCCTTGCAAGATCTTCGTCGGCAAGAAGTGAGTCGGTTTCATTTCCGGTCACGACCGTTGCACGTTTCCACAGGAAGAAACAACAGAGGTGAGTGAGATCCTTGCGCGAATGCTCTGCGGTAGACACCGTAGACACGAGGGTCCCATAGCAGCCACCACATAATCTACTGTTTGATTCTTGTGCATGGAATAGTCTAGATAGCACACGACAAAGGTAACGCAGTCGCGATGTCGAGAAGGCCGGGTACAGCTACTACTGCTGCACGGATGTACCTGTGCCGCGTCTCCCATCCCTGCCTCCGATTTTCCCGGCTACAAATGTGCGTGTGTGTGCGATGTTACGTGTGGGTGCGCCGATGTTGATCCGGTTGGCACCTGTCGGAACCGCTACTTTGCTGCGTGGATCAACTGCAGTACTACTGTCGATACGGCGCTGCTGAATCGAATTCGACCAAAACCACGTGGACGAGGTTGCGAGGCGCACAAACCCAGCGTGTATTGCATAGCAGTGGTCCGGCAACCGCCAACATCCCGACGCAAGCTGTAACTCATTGTTTTCAGTTTCAACATGTTGGCAATGGTATCTGGTATCTCCTCGATCTCCTTGCTGCTGGCCTCTTGGGTCCTTTCAACGATTTTCCAGACAAGAACCCTTTTATCCTGCCACGTCTATTTGTTCTTGAGCTAGTCAATACCGCACGACCTTTATCCCAGAAGAACTGGTCTCCCCCTGTACTTTGTTGAAAAGAGTAAAGATGTCACAAGGTACTCTGCCGTAGCATGAACAACGGCAGATAGATGACGTGTACGCAACCGACCGGAAAGTTTGTTCTCATTCTTCCACTCACGCACCTCCCACGAACGTTTGCCAAGAAAGATCGCACCACTATTTACTGTAGCCTACTAGTCTATAATCTAGATGTGAGCAAACCATTCTTTGACGTTGGCTTTACGCGAGGCCGAGGTCGTGCGCAATCGCACTTATGCAGTTCCTTTTCGGCCCTTCAAGAAGGGCCATTGGGACTTTGAAATGACTGATGAGGACCGCCTCTCGGAAGTTGGCTTTGAGGTCGTAATTTTCCCACGAGTGTGGGCGCTCATCATGTCCCAAACCATTAATACAACCAAAGCCATGCCAATCGAAAACGTTTCTACCGTGCATACCGGGTCTGGGTCTGCAGTTACATATCTACCTTTTCCCGTTCTGCCGTGTAGAGAGAGCGGGGGTGGGGGCAGCACCACAAGGAACAAGTGGCTTCGTTAGATTGTTATTTTTACTTTGGGATCTTGGGATCATCTCGACGTAGAGGAGTGCAGCGGCGGGCATATGAAAATCTATGCACCGAGCAAATGTTTGATACGACGGGGAGGATTCCCCGGATGAGGGTCAAAAGGCGCTAGTCCATCCCGCTTCCCAGAACAACAAATCGGCAGCGTTGATACTTTCTCCGCGACTGCCGTTCGTGTTCGGTTTAGGTACCCCCCCTGCGAGCACGAGACTCCTTCCGTAAGTGGTCGTCACTCTTCTGCGCGACAAGAAGATGTCCAGGAAAGAGCCACATCCGGAAACCCTGCACGAGGGTACGAGAGTTGCGGCAGCCAGCAGCAGTAGTTGGGCCAACAGATACAAACCCGGCCTCCTCCACTCCTCCTTTCATTTCTACGCTCTACGCTGGAATCGAAAAGTGTTCGTCGGTGATCTGTTGCCGTTTACTACGAGTTGCTGGGTAGGTCTTCTTCGTGACGTAAGATTGGCACATTCTTCTCATTTTCTGTCGGGCGACGAGCACGGACACGCACCATGCCACACGCCCACTCTGTGTGACTTTTCTGGACTGCGGTGAGGGCTCAGAGGTCAGCCTGATAGCGTGGGCGGGGTAAACACGATATCTCGGGGTGATGGGAGTAAACACCATTTCACGCACCGCACACTGGAAAACCGCCCTCCTCTTGCGTGTCGTTATTCAACGTGATCCTCACCCCACCCCCGTTGTCACGAGCATCACCTCCGCTCTCTACTCACCCGGCGTGTGCGCAGGCCACGGAGAAATGGCGGCGGCCAGGCACGGTGCTTTTGGACGTCCTCTTGCTCATCTTGACCGAACACCCCTCACCCTCGATCCCCCACCGCTATCGATAGAACTTCAACCTGCCCTTAACCCCCTCGCGCTCCTGGTTCATCCGCAGGCTGGGGGGTCAAGATAACAACTACAGGAAAGGTTCACGTGACAAAGGTGAGAGATGGGGGGCGGGGGGGGGGGAGG